TACATACATACATACATCTATCCATCTGTCCATCCATCCGTCTATCCATCCATCCCTGCATCCATCCGTCCCTGCAATAACTATCTATTGAACATTTATTATATTCCAGGCATCATGCTAGTAGCTGGGAATAAAATGGTCAGAGAACCATAATTCATTTTCTTCCCTCCAGCTTGGAACACAGACCACAAATGAATAAGCAAACAACAAATAAAAGAACTATAAATTGTGGTAACAGCCATAAAGGAACACACATAAGGTGAGAAGACAAAGATCAAAGGGTAGTAGTGGCCACGGTTGATGGTGGCATCAGAGAAGGGCATGGATATGAGATACTTTTTGAAGGTTTATTCATGGTTTGTAGCAAATGGGACTGAGAAGGCACAACCAGTGAGAGAAGGAACGTGGCGAGAGCCTAATGCTATGGTGGCTAAGAGAGGACACCACTTACAATTGCTATGTTGGTAGTTGTATGGGATTACCTGGCACAGGCCCTTTTACTTGGCTGAAGAATATATAGCTCTCAGTGGAAAACATTTCTACTCAATGGAAGGAAAGAAAGCCATCCACCATGGGTTTTCTTGGTTATTGGAGCTGTGGCACTTTGGGGGTCCAGACAGGAAAGAGTGGATTCCTGCCTGACACTGGTTCTTTTTGAATAGAAGAGCTCTGAGAAATGCATCCATCACAGGGTTTGGCCCAGGCAGGGGGGGTAGACTTCTGAAGCCCTGAGTCCTTCCAGGCCCTTTCATTTGGAAATGGATTCTCTGCATACTTCGTCTTACTTTCCTCTCTCTCCCTCTCTCCAAAGGGCAGCCACATACTTGCTTGTCCTCAATGCTCTCTGAAGGACGGAGAAACCCATTACTGAAAAGTTACTGTCGGAGAATTCTTGGTTGTTTGGATTCCTACCAAGCCTCCGTCTCTGGTCACAGTCACTGGTTCCCATCAGGGAGTCGCCAGTGGGTGGGCTTGCTTCCCTCGTATAGCTTTGCACCCAAGAAAAAGCAGATTTTTACCAACTTGAGGAGCAGTTGGTCCCAGCTACAGTTCACCTAGCACTGTTCAGTCAAACGCCAACACTGAAGAATGGGAAGAGACAGGGAGTCTTCAAAAGCAACCAGAAACCTTGACTGATGTGTGCGCACCTTTAATTTCATTATCAGACCCTCCTCCATGGATTTATTAACAATCATTGGAGAAATTCAAATTCTCACATCGAAAGAGATTTTCTTCTATTGACTTCAGAAAGTGGATAATGTTGCTGCCTGATGTCAGGCATAGGCCTCCTGGTGAAAACTGGGCCATACTGACCCATTAAAACTTTCTCTGTGTGCCTTTCAAGTTGTCCCTTTAAGTGCCAGTAGAATGCCTAAGTCCTTGGGGGGCGGGTCCAGGTCTGGGGGATCTTTGCAAACAGAAGAGAATGAGCAAGGGAATGTAGGTAAGAAATCACATGGTATCTGTATATGGAAGGGCCAGTGGCTTGGTATTGCTGGGTTTTGTGGCAGGGGGTGGTGAAACAAGGTTGTAGAGTTAGGCAAGGGCCAGAGCGTGGGGGACCTGGAGGCATAAAAAGGGTTTCGAACTTGATTTTGTAGGTGATAGGAAGCCATTGACAGGTTTTAAATCAGGGGTGACAAGGTTGAATGTGTGTGTGTGTGATTGCTGTAGGGGATGGACTTTGAGAGCCTATTAGAGGTTCTAATTCAACTGTGAGATGTTGGCAGCCTGAGCAAAGGCAATGGTGGTTGGAAGGCAAAGCATGCATGGGTGTGAGATACCTACGAGTTAAGTGAAACGAACAGGACCAGGTGACCGATTGGCTCTGCAAAGCGGCTAGGTAGTATCAAGGATGTGTCCCAGGTTTCTAGTATGAGTGAATGAGGTTTCCAGCATGAGTGAATGAGGTTTCTAGCATGAGTGAATGGGTAGGTTGTGGTGTCGCCAACTAAAATAGATGATTCAGGATGCAGGCGGAGGAGCTAGCCTAAGCTGGGGAATGGAGGTTTCCCCTTCAGATATTTTGAGTTTGACGTCCTATAGCCGTTTAGGTGGCAAAGGGCAGTAGGCAGCAGAGTATGAAACTTTAAGCTCCCATATCAGGGGTAGGGGAATGTTGGTCTGGTGCCAGGATGCTGGGATGCAAATCCCAGTGTCATCACTGGAGTGGTCAGTTTCCACAAAGTGGTGCAGCAGTGACAAATGACCCCCAAATCCCAGTGGCTTACAACAGTGAACTTTTATATCCTCACTGACATAGATGAAAATTGGGAGCTAGCTTTGGCTTTGCTCCACGTATTTCTCATTCTGGAGCCCAGGGTAATGGTGGAACCCCCGTCTCAGCCCAGCCTCGTGCAGAAGGAAAAGAGCAATGGCAGAGCCATGAGATGACTCTAAAACGTCTGCATAGACAGGGCACTCGGTGCTTCTGCTCACATTCTATTGGCCGAAGCAGGTCACATGGACAAGTCTGAAGTCAGCCAGGTGGGGACATACACTCCTCCCACCGGAGGTACAGCATATGACAATGGTCAGGGAGCAGTATTCATCTAATGGAGAGAAAAGAAAATAGTTGGGCCCAACCATATGACCTATGACAACCACTAGTGGGTTATAAAACCTTGGGGATTTATTCAACTTCTCTCTGTTTTGCTTACCTTACCTGTAAGACAGGAATAGCAATACTGCCTCTTAGGATTGTTAAGAGAAGTAACTTAGTTCGTCCATGTAAAGTGCTTAGAACAGTGTCCGACACAGAGTAAACACTTTATAAATGTAGGTGGATGGAAGGAAGAGAGAAGGTGGGGATATTATTTAATGGGTACTGCGGCTCAGTTTGGGAAGATGAAAAACTTCTGGAGACGGATAGTGGCAGTGGTTGCACAACAATGTGAAAGTACTTAATGCCACAGAACTGTACACCTAAAAATGGTTAAAATTTTATGTTGGGTATATTTTACCACAATAAAAAAAAATGTAGGTAGATGGGATTGTCTGGGGAGGGCAAGACGAGAAGAGGGTGGTGGGCAGAAAGTGGAATACTTGGGAACCAGCCGTGGGAGCAAAAGCATTGCAAAAGGGAGATTAAGTCTGCTAGGGAGACAGAGAAGGAACATTCTAGACACACAAGAAAACCAAGAGAGGTTGATGTCCTCCGAAGCCACAGGAATTGAGTTAGGAGAGAGTGTTGGAGTGCCTGAGGATGTCTGCTCTGCTTGGCTTTGAACCTGAACCTTCCCTTTGGCACCTTGATTTTGGTGGGTCTGCTTTCCTCTGCCAGCTCCTGATGATATCATTTCTGGTCACCGCCAACACCAGGCCCAGACTGCCTCAATGCCAAATCCTGGCCAGGTCTCTTCTCCGAGGTCCCTCCCTCCCCTCCTCTCTAGCCAGTCCTCTTTTGTCCATTGCTGACATCTTGGTGAGACAAATCTCTTTTAATTAAAAAGACACAGAATTGAGGACATTTATTCTTGTGTCATTTTTTTTATCACCGTTGGTGTATATTGTTGTACCCTGAAAAACAAAAATCTTCAAACTTTGAATTTAAAAATTAGGGTTGGTTAGTTTATGGTCAAGATTCCTTTATTAACAAAAGAGTTCATCTTTTGTTTACGGAACGTTGTCTATTTGATAAGCCATGGGTTAGAGAAACTGAAAGCTAAAATTTTTCAATGGGAAATGCAGACTATACAGTTGCAAGGAAGACAAGATGCTTTTTTCTTTTACATCAATTACATTTGCACTGCCACCTTTGGAGGAACCAAGGGATACCTTGGTCCAGAGGATTTCTTCCATTTCTTCGTTGCTTCTAGACCTTGTCTGGCCAATCATCACATGAGCATCAGAGGACTGCGCACAGAGCTGTGGTTCTTAGCTCTGCCAGGAAAAAGCTCTGCGAGGAGCCTGGCTTTTTCTTATTGATTTTATTTCTCGAAGAGTTTTCTTACTAAGTGAATTGACCTTACACAGTTAACTTGATGTAATCTAAAGAAAATAGATGAAGTTTGCTTTAGAAAAAATTATACACGCTCTAACCAGCCATTTGGTAATCATTTTCCACAGCGTCTGTCCTTTCGGGGATGGGGAGGTGGGTTTTTTTTTTTTTTTTATGCGTGAATGATTACATCTATATACAAGAGCTCCAAACTCTTACTGACCTCCCTCTGCAACACCAGCTGGTGTTGGGGACAGAGCACTGAGGCAGGCAGGGGGTCTCTCTCAAGGCGTCAGTCACCCCAGGTTGTTTGGCCAACAGTCCCAGGGCATCTGGGCAGTCCACACACATAAACGAGGCAGCTCTTCCAGTCATAACAACATTTGTGGAACACGTTAGATGGCCTCAGATGCATCCCATGGAGATAGGGGGACTGTTTTTGGTCCTTATTTGCGGTCAGAGTTCTTTGAAAGCACACGACATTGCAGCTGGAGAAACTTTCTAGGTCCTCACCCAGCAGCCTTTACCTCAATCGCTTCATGATCGCTTCCTGAAGCGATCACTTCATTCTTAGAATATAGGGGACCCTCTCCAGCCCTCACCTCAATAATGTGAGCATCTGGATAGGTTTTCAATCCAGAAATTATAGATTTAAAAGGAATAGCTCTTCCGGTGTTCTGGGGGTCCTGCTCAACAGTCCTGCGTGTATCCCTGAATTGATTTTGAAGAAGCAGGTGCTGTCACGGGTCCATTCTCATAACCCAGTCAAGCCAGCGTGAAAGGCCTGTGTGGGGACCACAGAGACCTACGCCAGGCTGTTCTGCTGACTGTCTGCTTCTAGCTAGTGATCATGAACTTGCCCATTTCACCAGCAAATTTGGATCCAGGGATGGCTTCTGATTAGTAGCAGCTAAGTTTCTGACCTCAACTTCCTTACATTGCTTTTCCCTCGGGTTTTGGGACCTTTGAGGTCCCCCAAAGCCTCAGATATAGAGCCCAGAAAGGAAGGGTGGTCTAGGGTGTGCGTGTCTCCTTTCCTTTCTTTGGGGGCATCTGTGTTCATGAGTGGCAGCTGAGACCCCGAGAAACAGTGTCCCTGGAGCTATTCCCGGGATTCACTAGGGTCCATTCTGGCTGCTGTAAGACTGACTCCATGAGAAATGTGAGAAGCAAAGGCCCTGGGGAAGGGGCTACTAAGACAGAGCAATGCTGGACAGAGCTTTCTGGGAAACTTCAAGGCTCCCAGGAACCCTGGGCAGCTTCCTATCCAAGAGTCACTGCGAGGTGTGGAGAGGCTGCCCTGGGTGGGTGGGAGAAGGTGAAGGTAGGATTGGGGTGGGGGTAGTTGGTACGGGGCTCAGTCCTCAGTCTTTTTTTTTTCTCCCTGGAGAATTTCACTCTGAACTTGGAGAGGCGGCAGAGTCCCCATCCTCGGGGTCCTGCCCATGTGGGGAGATGGGCTGACCCCCCTTCACGCGCTTCCACTTCATCCTTCGGTTCTGGAACCACACTTTGACCTGAGGAAGGAAGCAGAGGAGCCTGGTCACTTCACGGCAGGTGTGACCACCTTCTCACATTGATGCTCAAGCTACCTGGGGTGCAGCTCTGGGGACCCCCCAGCTCGAAATTCTGCTTGCCCCTCCCCACGCCTCCAAAGGCTCCAGGAATTGAAAGGGAAGACCCACCAATCGGCCCAGAGGCTTGTCTTATGTCTCCAGATAAAGAAAGCCTGCCAGAAGAACCAGCTGTAAAAGTCACGCTGGCCCCACCCCCTTTCACAAGCCCCTGCCCTCCTGTGCCAACACCCTCTCCCTGTAGCTTCCATTACCCAACCATCTGGGAACACAGGCTCACCAGCCTCACCCTTAGGCACATTTATAAAGCACTTTTCAGCTTAGATAGCTCTGGTCTGGACATTTTCTCATCTGAGCTTCAGCATTTACCTGCAGGTAAACCTGCAGGGTGGGGTTATGACACTGCCTTACAGATGGAGACCAAGAGAGGTTAGGAGAAGACATGTCCCAGAGGTCTCAGGGCTACGAAAGGGTAGAGGCGGGATCTGAGTCTAAGTCCTCTGATTCTAAATCCAGCACTTTGGCAGATGCTTTCTCAACTGAAAGCTGCAATCAATAATAATAATAATAATATTTTATTCCACGTCAGAGCACGGGTATGGGTGGAATGCTCTGAGAGAAAGCCCAAAACAAAGGGCTAGGAAGTTTTTCTCAGAGTGTGTCCAGGAACCAGCTGCAAATCCAAATCACCTGGAGAACTTACTAGAAATGCAGGCTCCTGATCCCACTCATTATTACTGGAAAATCGCTCTGTGGAGCTCCGGAAGCTGCATTTTAAACAGGGCCTGGATGATTCCACTGCACACTCAAGTCTGGGGATAACCAGATCAGAGGTTTCAACCCTGGTTGCATGTGAGAATCACCTCGGGGACCTTTGATGAATTCTGATGCCTGGACTTCACCTCGGACCAATGAAAACAATCTCTAGGGGTGGAGCCCAGACACTGGTGTTAGAATCTCCGCAGGTGATTGTCAGGTACAGCCAGAGTTGAGGACCACTGGACTGGGGCAGAGGGAGAAGACAAAGAAGGTTCTGGGAGAAGCGGGGGAAGAGAGAGCACAGGAAAGGAGGGACGGCCAGGAGAGGAGGGGCACCTGCCGCTCGGAGAGGTCCAGGTTTACGGCTATCTCGTATCTCCGGAGCCGGGTCAGGTAGTTGTGATGAGCAAACTCGGCCTCGAGCTCCCGCAGCTGCTCCTTGGTGAAGGCCGTCCGCTCCTTGCGGGCCTTACTGCTGCCCTCCGGCTTCCCTCGGTTCTCCTGGTTGTCTGGGGAGAGAGGGCCCCAAACAGGAAGAAGTGAGCCGCGAGGGCCTTGGTTCCCTTTCTTTTGGCCTCAAGCGGCGGGGCAGCCTTTCCCTGTTGCTCTTATTTTGTAAGGACGCTGAGAAAGAACCCACGGTGTCCCTTTATCATTCATTCTAGCGTCTTCACCCCCAGAGAACTGGAAAGATTTTTGGATATCAACCTCAGGCACACCTCCCCCACAACTGTTTTTAATTCCCAAAGCACAAGAAGCTGCCGTTGGCTGTTTAATGGTCTCCACCCCACCTCAGTCCCCACCTACCCACAGCTTGGCATTAGCAGTGGCTGTAAGTTTGTGGGGCAGGATGCTCTAAAACTGAGGTTCTCTGTCCTCCACGACAGAAACATCACCTAGGAACTTGTTAGAGATGCAGATCCTTGGGCCTCACCGCACACCTGCTGAATCAGAAACCACGGGAGTGGGGCCCAGCGATCTGTTTTTTTTTTTTTTCCCCAGTGATCTGTTTTAACAAACCTTCCAGATGATTCTGACACATGATCATGGTTACAAACCTCTGCTCTGAGACCTGGCTACTCAGAGGGTGCCTGGTGGCAGCAGTAGTGTGGCCAGGGAGCTGTCAGACTTGCAGGATCTCCACCTCACTCCATCCTCAGACCTACTGAATCAGAGTCCGCATTTCAGCCAGATCCCCAGGGGAGGTGTGTGCACGTGTAAATTGAGAAGTGCTGCCTTAAGTTTCTCCCGCTCCCCCCCCACCCCCGCCCGCAACGCTCTGACACCAGGAGGGGCCAGGTCTGGAAAGCCCATTTACAAAGGAGGCTCTGAGTTTGACAGGGCAGGGGCTCAACCATAGCTGGTAACGGGTACAGGAATCAAGCACCTTACATGCATCAGCCACTTAATCCTCACAGTAATTCAGCCTGGCGAGTTCTAGGATGAGACCCATTTTATAGACCAGAAAACTAGGCACAGAGAAGTGTAGCAAGTTGTCCAAGTTCATCCAGTTCATCTGGCCAGTGAGTGGTGGGGACAGGAATCCACCTCAGGCAGTTTGACTCACACAGTGTTCCAATGAAAGATATGTAGGAAGGCTTTACAAACTGTAAAGTACTGTGCACCCAGAAAGGACTGTATCGTGATCTGAACAGGGGAAGGGGCGGTGGTGGATGGAGAAGCGCACAGGAAGGAGACAGACACACCTACACAATGAACTACCAACGCGTGCCACGTGGCCCGGGAAGGGCTCCAGGAAGCACGTTTTACGCAGGGCTCTTAAAAGTTAGAAGTCTTTCACTTCATTGCCCTTGTACAGACAGGGAACCCGGCCAAGCGGCCAGATTGCCGAGCGGGACGGGGATGTGGAGCCCCCTCGTCCACCCCACGTTCCCGATGGGAACGTCAGCCCGCCGGTCCTTTCTAGCGCTTTCCACGCAGTCCCCCTTGCATTTCTGTCTGCGCGTCCTCCGCCCCCGCGCCACGCCTCCGGGAGCGGGATAGAAGGGGGAGCCGCCCGCCCCCTCCCGACGTCCCCCAGGAAGCAGAGGAGGCGGAGGAGGGGCCGCCGCCGGGGTGCCGCCACCGAGGGTCCCCGCAACCCCGATGCTCGGCTGCCCGTGCCGGATCCGGGTGGGCCGCCTGCCGGGCGCGCCCTGGGGCGGGAAGGAAGGGGGCGAGTTCTCCTGCCGGGCTGTCTGCCATGACCCCTCCGGAAGCGGAGCCGGGGCTGGTGAGGAAGGACGCGCCGCCAGGCTGGGGTCCCCCAGGAGTCTTCAGCCTTGGCTAGCGCGAGCCCGGGAGGGAGGGGCGGTCACGGTCACGCCGCGGATGGACGCCCATTCCGGAGCACATCCTCGCCTGCGCGCCCAGAGCGAGGCTGGGAAACCTGGATTGTTTCCCATCCGCTCCTGTCCTGGAGCTCAGTATTTCCCAGCTCTAACCTTTCGCAGCAGCTGGGGTGTTAAACCCAGAGGACTTGCCCCGACGTTTGAATCCTGGATCTTCCTGCTGGAGCCTCTAGGGAAGTCGCTTAACCTCTCTGGGCTTCTCATCCAGAAATCTACCTCCCAGAGGTTTTGGGAAGCTTGGACAAGATGCTGTGTGTGGAAAGTGCTTTTAAAACTAAAGCTCTGGACAAATATAAAGTATTCTTCTGATTCGTCAATTCCTTGAGATGCCATCTGAGGGGCTGGGGTAATAGCTACCGTTTCTTAAAGGCTTCCACGTGCTAAGATGCAGTCACTGCTTTAATCCTCCCCATACACCACACGTAGGAGTAGGTAGTATTATTATCCCTTTAGCTTTGTCATGTGGATTTGTGTGATAATTTGATTAATAGCACTCTCTCCCCAGGGATGTAACTGCTTTTTCTCACTTGCTACTGTACCTGGCACTTAGGAGGTTCTTGCTAAATGTTTGCTAAATCCTTCTCAGTAGATAGAGGCAGAAGCAGCCTCAGAGAGGCCCGGGAACTTGCCCAGTGTGCCAGGCAGCTTTTGGGCGGCAGAACAGAGATTCGAATCCAGATCCACCGGACTAGAGCCTTGGCCATCAACCCTGGCGTCAGGTTCTCCATCTTGCGTCGGCTGGCTGGCAGCTGGACCTGGACCATCGCAGCTCTGCTCGTCTCCACCTCCAGGGCTCCTGTGGGCCCTGAGTTGATGCCCACACCCACCCTCCCCTTCTCCCAGGCCTGCTGAGGTGTGCACAGGTCCCCTACGGAAACCCCCCAAATAGCACCCCCACACACACACACACAGAGTTCTGCACATAATCCTTCCTAGAGAGAAGAAGGGAGATAAAGGGAGGAGGCCTTTGGAGCTGGTCTTGGACTGGTTATGGGGGCAGCTGACCATTGTCAACCAGGCCAAACCCCTCCCTATCCACTGTCCTCTCTCACCTCTTAGTAACCTGATTTAGGCACTGGGGCCTCAGGATGGGAAAGAAGAAATAGGACAAAGGAGCCTGGGCTGGGAACTGAGTGTCTGAGCCCCTGTGTGAACCTCGGGGCAACACCCGCTAAAGGGGGTGGCATCTGGCACTGGGAGAACCTTTGTCCCTCATCAACTTCCCAGAGGGGTAAGAACTTTGATCACTGTTAGAAATGACAGGGCTTCCCTGGTGGCGCAGTGGTTGAGAGTCCGCCTGCCGACGCAGGGGACACGGGTTCGTGCCCCGGTCCGGGAAGATCCCACGTGCCGCGGAGCGGCTGGGCCCGTGAGCCATGGCCCCTGAGCCTGCACGTCCGGAGCCTGTGCTCCCTAGCGGGAGAGGCCACAACAGTGAGAGGCCCACGTACCGCAAAAAAAAAAAAAAAATGACAAAGTGGTCAGAAGTATGGCAAGTTAGCCATGAAAACGAAAGTGGAAGTTATGGTTCTCTTTGTTCTGCAATAGTATAAAAAACTGTAACATTTTCATCAAGATAGGAAAAGACAAAGAAAAATGATAAGTACTTTTATACCATTTCTGGCCAGGGGGTGTCCATTCTGCTGGCTCACATGCACAGTTCCTATGCATTCTACCCCCAAGATGGTTTGATCCCTTTGTTGAGGAGCCTCCCTCCCCTCTCTGGCCTCAGTTTCCCCACGGGTAGGAGTATGGGATTGGGCTGGGTCTTCTTTCCCTGGGCGAGCTGTTGTCAGACTTCTTTTCCAATGCGCCACCCTGGCACTCTCTTCTCTCCCTACTCCCTCTTCTGTTGAGAAACCCCGGCCTGGAATCTGAGGTCGCTTCCAGTTTCAAAGATTCTTGTCTTGGCCCCAGGTTACACCCTTCAGTCAGCAGG